CATGTAAGATGTGTGTCCAAAAACCGGAGCCATTCCCTAGCCCCCTGAAAGAGCGCGGTCTTCGCCCTCAAGCCGGCCCCTGACTCTTCCTGACGTGGTGGCTCGGGCCCGGCCCCCTGACTCTCCTGCCGCTTCCTCAGGCCCGGCCCCTGGCTCTTCCTGCCGTGGGTGAAGTAAGTCAATCACCACATTACACACAAATCCCTTCACATTTAAATTTTTATTTACATTAAAGTATTTCGTGAGGCCTTCTAAAATGTTTTTAAATATAATTAGGGTTGTCGTTGAAGAGTTTGTAAATTATTGCGTTGCCTGGCAACACACTCAAACATCCAAATCACAGAGCTTGAGGACTATCACGGGGTTTGACGAGCGAAGCGGAGAGAATACTTACATCCGGGTGTAAAATTCTCTAAAGCAACTAGGCTACTATGAGCTGCTCCGACCCTCGGCCCTGACGGACTCCAACTTGTGTTTATTAATCGAACAAATAAATAAACACAAGGATAATTATGTTTTATTGTTGAGTAAATAACAGTGTGTGGTTTAGAAAAGAATACAAAATTAGAAGGAAAAAACGATGAAACAATACAGATTTCAGTATTCTGAGCCCCTACTCTCCCCATAACTGACGGCAACAAAATTCCTACATTATTCAATTAAAATAAAGAAGTAAAAACAATAAGTGTGGCTTGATATTGAGAAAGAAAAAGGTTGATAAACGCTGTGAGAATGGATCTGCGGGTAGCATTCGCTCGCGATCTCAAGTCGTCTACAAAATAGGAGGGAGCTACTGTATATAGAAGCCTATGGACATCCCGGAAAATTGAAAATGTACGCTAAGGCCCCCCCCCTTGCGTTGGAAAAAGCCGACACGGCCGTCCCCCCTCTTGCGTTGGAAAAAGCAGACACAGGGGACTTGACATAACGTCAACATAGGCTGACCTGGGAGTGAGGATGGGTTGGGTGAACACACACAACTCATGCTTATGAGGAACAATCTCTGCTAGCAAAAGCCTTAGCATGTTGGAGTAGAAGAGAAAAGAGGTTGTCACAAAGACATCAGCTGATCGGCACATAGGCCCAAAAATACCTCGTAAAAACTGTGAGAGCTCTTAAACAAATCAGCTATTTGTTTATTCGACTGCTAAGGTGTGAATTATGAAAGTTGGACTTCAAACCTACCTGTTGAGTTTGAAGTCTGGAGAGAAGATGAGTTTTCCAGGATGATCCACAGACCTCCACATCAGGCCCAACATCAGGACCTCCAGCCAGCAGCACTTCAGCAGGTGGATCTGGTCTGCTAGACTCAGCTCCATAAAGCCTGAGGAAACGGAATAAAGAGAAACACATAATTACCACACACCTCAAATGAATATCCTATCTGGATTCAGAATATAAGGGGACAAAAAATGACTCATCATGGATCACAATGAGAAAACGTACAATCAGCGAGGAGTTTCCATTGTCGTAAAAACACTTTCCGATTTAGAGACTTGAAAAAGTTCTGTAGCTCATACAGTACAGTATGTCATGAGAGAGAAGGGACAAATTGAGAATTATAAAAACAAAAAAGATAATAAATAATGTAAGAAAGAACAGATCCACACAATATGGCTCTTGTTTTATTTGATTTCTATGATATCTGTACAGAGGGGACCTATTATTTATGATCTTATTTAGGATTGTTTCTCAAATATTTGGGCCAGGACAATCAGGATGCACGCAATTACTCTTTAATATATTGTCGGCAAGCTAAAAAGCTACAACATGTGAATATAAAACAATATTGGGAGTTAACCAAAGGTACTTTTGCCTTTTTTTTATGAAACTACATCAACTAAATGAGGTTTTCAAAGGAGCCTATCAACCAACCTTCTAAGAGTTATATTAAAGACAGAGAAACGCCCTTGTGCCATAGACTCTAGAGCACTACAGGATCTAACAATGACCTCACTATGTATTTAGCTTCACTGCGCCTCGCTCACCTGTCTGTACTTTCTTAGATGTTTCATAAAGCAGACAATGCACACTCATCCCCACCTCCGCTGGAAAAGAAATGGTGGAATATGGTCGTTATTCAAAAAACGGGGAGTCTTTGTGAACCCCTCACATTAACAACTCTGCTGGTGAGTTACCTGCTGGGCTGAACACTGGCTAAGAGAGGAAAGGCGAGGAGAGGGAAACATAAAAAGGGACAGGAAAGTGGAAAAAGAGAATCAGGACCATGTGAGAAATAAATAAATTCATAGAAGACAAAAAATTATAGAGAGGTTGATATAATGATTTCCTCCCGTTGGTCTCTGTTTATCCATGCAACAATTCTGTCACTTGTTTGTTTATTCAACCTTCCCATGCAGCATCTGACACACCAACATGAATGATGAGTGGAAGATGTGTTTACTGTAGCCGCAGCTTTGTTTTTGCCTTTATAACCCTCAGTCTGCTTTGCTGGTTTTCACCTGACTTCCACACGTTGTTAATCAGAGCCAAACTGCTTCCACTGATCCTAGAGTTTATCCTGACCCTAACCCAACATGGCTCTTTCACTCAGAAAGGCCACACCGAATGCCTCCAGTCTTATTTGATGACATGTAAACTGGTCTGTGATTAAGTGGATGTTCCTCAAGTATAAAAATAGACTGAATTAAGAATTAATATATGCACAATGCAATGGAAACATTTACATCCAAAAGAAACAACGAAGAGCAGGAAATATGGAGTTTTCAAAAGAATGAAGTAGATTTTCCATGTTCCAGTGTTTTCATTATGGATACAAATAAGGGCAAAGGTCAAATAGAAACTATATAATTATCAACAGCTAAAAAATTCAAACTGAATTAATGTCACGCGGTAGATTTTATAAAACATGTAAGATGTGATTTTAGCATTGCTTCAAGTTTTATAACGTATCAAAAATATAAATAAAAATGGTTTGTTTATATAAATAGTAGGGCCGGGACTTTAACGCGTTAATTAAGATTAATTAATTACACAAAAATTAACGCGTTAAAAAAATTAACGCATTTTAATCGCACTTATTTTTGCACCGCGGAACGTTTCTCACTGGATGAGTTTCAGGGGTACCGATTATACTGGAGCACCAACTAACGTTCATTACTTCAGACAACAACAAACCACAGTGAACAATAGTCAAACGTGAACGAAGAAGCTGATGAGACCGCTTTGGTTGGCCCCGTGGATGGGACATTTTGTTTTAAAAANGCTAAAAAATTCAAACTGAATTAATGTCACGCGGTAGATTTTATAAAACATGTACGATGTGATTTTAGCATTGCTTCAAGTTTTATAACGTATCAAAAATATAAATAAAAATGGTTTGTTTATATAAATAGCTTTATTGTTGCACCTATTTTACATAGCCCAATTCCTCTTACTGTATTTATGTATGAACCATTATACAACAAAGCAAATTCAATAAATAAACCACAATCTACATCTAATTATTATATGTTTCATGTATTTAGTACATTTAATCTTAACAAACAGGTACAATTCTATTGAACAAACAATGTTCGTAGTTTTTAAGAAAAAAAAGATATTTATAAATTAAATTAAATTAAATAGGATTTCAATTGGGAACATTTTTAATTTGAAAATGATTTGCGCTAATGTTTGTATCTTACCAGGGATCTTTTTGGCCCAGCAGATCATGAGGACCAGTTCCTTGTCTGCCAGGTTGGTGAGGGACATCATCATGCTGGCCTCGGTGAAGGGCTTCTTCATGTCCTCCATGAGGTAGATCTCCGGCGGCTCCGCCTCCATGATGCGGGAGATGAACTCCTCTGGGCCCATGGTTGAGTGGTGAGCATGGCACATCTGAGGGAGGGGGTCCACAGGGACGATAGGAACCTCTAGGTGGAGATGCCTTGGGGCACGGGAAGCCAGCCCCACCCTGACCAAACCCCTACCCGCGGGGGCCCGAGGCTGGAGCCCCCCACGGCGGAGCCGGGCTCCTCTGTAGCTGCAGCGCTCACGCCTTACACCTGGAGCAAGAGACAGAGAGTCACATGACCATACTTTGTACCCTTTGTACTTTATGTGTACATTGTTCTTGTTTAGTGTAAAATAACCAATACAACCACAATAGGGCAAAAATATTGGCTACTTGCCTAAAGGGCAATTATGCTGATTTTCAGGTTCATATCTATATTGTACATCACAATGTACAACAATATCTGTTTTTCTTTTTTTTATTACTGCCGATTTTTATTCCATATTTTATTCCTTCTTATTCCATTTCATTGCAATGTAAATACTGTTATATTTTACTATGTTTTTTATTATTTTTAATATTTTTCTAGTTCTCTAACTGTGTTTTTAATTCTTGTTTTACTTTTATGTATGCACCACGACACCAAGTCAAATTCCTCATACGTGTAAACCTACCTGGTAATAAACCTGTTTCTGATTCGATATTGTGTGACATGTTTTATTACCAGGTAGGTTTACACGTATGAGGAATTTGACTTGGTGTCGTGGTGCATACATAAAAGTANACACATGCATCTGCTACATTGTTACAATCTAAGCACTAAGAATCTGCCTCTTTACCCTCTGAAGAGAGCCGCAGTGACGCGTCCTAAAACCCGGAAGTAAACTTCTTCCGGTTCCTTCGTCTAAAACGCAATGCAATTTCTCCATAGGATTTTGGAAAATAGCTCGAAATAAGGTCTGTGGTTGACACATATTTAAGAGATGGATCACGTTTTGTTCAGCCGGATAATATCCACATGTCAACCTTACTTTTATAATTTTTGAATAATAAATCTAGTCGGCAGAAGCAAAATGCTAACGTTATGCTATAAACGAACTACAAGCCAGTACAGCAGCAGGGTCGCACGACTTCAACGTCACGCCAACTTAAGATCGTTTCAACTGACTTGCACTGAAACTGCACTTTGAAAACTTTAAATATATTAACATTTTAAACTGTATANTCGATATTGTGTGACATGTTTCCATGCTGTAATGTTCAAAAAGGTCAAAATGCACACTGTCTTAGTCACTGTTGATGAAATATAGCATGTCTGAAAAATACAACTCTGATATAACATTGAACAAAATGATTGCCAGTGGCCTACTGAGAATTTGGCTCTAAATTATCAAAGATTTTCAGAAAATATCTTCCACAGCACTATTAGCTCCAAGTCCCTCTGAGCTCATATTGCTGGTGGAGGATTGCAGTTGAAGTGCCCTATAAACACATAGTCACTCATCTGTTTTGACCCTCCTCTTATGTGCAGGTGTGAGGGTACAGGGCAAGAAACATGAGAAATGGTTAGAATGAGGAATAATACTGTGAAGGTTTCCACTACAGAGGGTAAAGAGGCAGATTCTTAGTGCTTAGATTGTAACAATGTAGCAGATGCATGTGTGAGAAGGACTAGCTAAGACTGACGGCCCGTCCACACAGTGGCGTGCGTTGACGCCATATATATACAGTCTATGGTTGACGCTTGCCGGCGGGCGTGTCTGAAACTCGACCAACAACCAATCACATGAATCTCCCGCCCCTGACACACAAGCAGCGGTTTGATTGGCTAGAGCTTGTACTGGCATATGATTCGATTGGCTGACGCTTCTGCCGAGGCGTCAAAAGTTGAACATTGCTCAACTTTTGCAGCGAGCCACGCCAGCAACGCTCCACGTCGCTTCCCACGATGCAGTTTGGCGAAAAGTGACGTCACCCCATTCAAAGTGAATGGTGAAGCGTCAACGCACGCCGCTGTGTGGACGGGCCGTGAGAGTGTTTCTGTGTGTCTCAGTGGGCAAACACTGGATGAAGGCCACAAATGGGCCCCATACATTTAACATGTGGATTTCTGTTTCTTGTACATGATCATTACCCAAAAATAAGCAAAGGCTAAGGTTGAGAAAATATTCTTGTATCATTTTCTTTTAGTAAAAATGTAACAGTGGGCAATTTGACCCAGACCCCACACAAGGGATAAGTTGTTCCACTTTCTTTTGCTATATCAAGGACCCCGGTAAAAGAGGTGAGAACCTACCGCACTTCATCATGCCCACTTCGTAGCATTTCCGTAGGCGGCAGGCCTGGCAGCTTTTACGTCTGTTCTTGTCGATAGTGCATTGATTTGTGGCGGGGCAGATGTAGTCATTGTGTCCTAAGGATTCAAGGAAAGAAGACACTTCAATGGATGAGGAACATGAAGAGATGGTGACTTGTTATTGACTGAAAGACAGAGTTTATACCTTGGATACTCCTCTTAAAAAAGGCCTTGCAGCCCTCGCAGGACCACACTCCATAGTGGTACCCGGAGGCGTAGTCGTGGCACACGGCGCAGAAGTGCATGTCCGCCTTCCCGACCGCAGACGAACACAAAGAGGAGTCCATGTCTTCCACTCCCTTCCCCAGCGGCTTGTTACAGCTGATGATGGAGCTGCAGGAAGAAACAGAGACATTGTGAAAAGGGACAACTTGACATCTGGAAGTTTACCTGTCATTAGTAATCTAACAGGTACTCTTTTGCTAAAAAGTTCTCCACAACCACATTGCAGCCAACTGAAAAATTGCATGAAGAAACTAGAGGATTCATCATTGAAACATAATGGGTATAAAAGTCTCAAGCATCCAAGGCCAGTTTCACTATGACTGTCAAGTATAGAGAATGACCCCGAATATGAAGTAGAGGCAGGGATGTAAATCAAATGTTGTGGTGAGAGTAAATCCATCCAATAGAATCAGTGTTTCAATGTCAGTCTATTGGTTATTATAATATGTTGCAACTCCATCTCAACACTAAATATTTTACTGGATTCTTTGCACAGGCTCTGCTATTATCCAACGATCATGTTAGCTGAAGAATACTAAAACCACCGTAACTATTTTGTCTCTTTATGTTGTCATTGCAGTCAAAGCTGCTTCGCCCATTCATCACTTCAACACCAAACCATCACCAACGTCAAGGGCTTATCTACAGTAGCCTTGGAGAAACTTTAGATGGCTGCTGTTAAAAGGGCTCTATACCTACACATGTATCTAACTGATAGGGAAAATAATAAAATCTGTATGTTAAAAAACCTACATTAAACCTTTCTTGTCCCTCCTAAACTAAATGCAATCTTGCACGTTTTCCCCCTAAACTTTTTATATAATAGCACAGAACTGTACGTGCTTGAGTTGTTTTCATCAAATTCGGGGTATAGAAGAAAGGCATTATCACTGAATTCCTAATGAGCCAACAGGCATTTGTAAAAATCATGGAAACACTAAGACCGATTTCAATTCTGTTTCTTTTAAAAAGGACTGAAAAGGACGCAATTCTCTTATTTATTTGTTTTTATTAATTTACACAAAAACACATGACAGGTTATCAACATGAGTTAATATTCATCATTATCTTTTTATTATTGGCTTTGGTTGCATCATCTGGTAACCTTGCTTTCTATTGAGCTTGGGTATTTTTGAACAATCCGGTAGCAGACGATGTCTATTTACTGAAGTTGCTAATTGGGCTGTAATCGACAAAAGCCTCCTATCGTTTTCATACAGCTTAATTGGCACGCACCAAACAGCCTTTTGTCCTAAGTATTATTGCTATACACGTCTATCAATGGACCAATGTCAATAAACATACCTGCTAGCGTTGATGCTGTGGGTTTTGTGCTCCAGCCAGGGAGCATGTGGGCTGTGATCATTGTAGACGAGAGGCTGAGGGCAGCGCGGAGTCAGTGAGGGCATGTTGGGGTGGTTGTTGGAGGGCCAGAAGGCTGATGGGCTAAGCGCGGGGCACAGAGGGGACGGGCTGTCAGTGATGGGCAGCCTGGCATAGCCGAGTACAGACGGGCTGTAGAAGGTTAAAGGTCCATTGCCGTACTCGTGGCTGCTATCCGTGTAGGGAGACTGGATGCAGACAGTGTGGCTATCCATGCCCAGAGGAGGGCTGTATGAGGCGGATATGATTCCCGGGGAGCTTGACCTCTCTGAGGATTTGCTAGAGTCCACCTCCTGTAGCTGAAGCAGTGTTAACGGGTCAGCATCCAGCCTGGGGGAGGAGTCCATGTCAGGGTGAATTTTAGTAGTTTCACAGTGTTTATGAATAAGATACTATAGCTGGTTCCTCTACTGCATGTTCCAGTAAAGACAAGTCCTGGGACAAAGGGGGAGAAAAACTGTTATGGTTAAAAAATGTATGTCAGTCTGAGCTGCACTTTTAGTTAGTGTTTATGAGGAAATGCTAACACACTAAGCTAAGGCAGTGGACATAACATGTCAGGTAGCATCAGAATGTTGCCGTTGTCAATATCATCATGTTAGCATGCTTACACACCAAGCTATGCTGGTGAACGTAGTAAACATACCATGACAGGTAACATCAGAATGTTACTATTGTCAACACGTTAGCGCTCAAACACACCAAGCTAAGATGGTAAACATTAAATACCTGGCAAACATTCAAATGTTAGCATTGTTATTGTGAGCATGTTAGCATGATGGTTGTATTCATGAATTTTGAAATAATAACTTTTTTTTAAATTGAGTAAAGTGAGACAGCTTAATAAAAAATACACTTTTAACACAACTATTACATTTGAACAAGATAGTATTAAGCTGTGTTCGGAAAGATGATACAAATTAAATTATAGAAATACTGTACGTTTCATATGACTCTGGCTCTGGATGGCTCTGTATGGATATATTATGTCATTGCTATAAGAATGGTTTAACACACACAGGCATGCACACACCCAAAACCAATTGTACTTTTGAAACATTGCAGCAATGTCAAGTTCATTGCGTATCTTTAAGGTTTTATTGCGTCAGAGACACAGGACATGTAACTATCAATATTGTTACTCAAGAAAGCACACAACACAAGATAATGGTATGTTTTCTTTACCGAGTGCATCACAACCAGAGGTTTAATGAGATCCTGCTAGCGCATGGGGACAAGAGATTAAAACACACATTGTTATCCCATTTCAATTGGGGGGACTACTCTAAAACTCTTTCTATGAACCTAAATACATAAAAACCAAAGTAACTGGGGGCTCAATTTGATTACTGTTTTTTAGCTCTGCACGTTGAGACTATGAATACCCAAAACTACAGCCCTAAGGTACTTCGCAGTACTAGGTCATATAAAAGATCATATAGACAGGTGTAGTCCAAGAAGTCTGAAATGTTCTCACAGAAGTTGATACAAACAGGTATTTTATTGATGCACTTAAAAACAGCTTCCTTACAGTGTCAACGGTGAAATGAAAAGCTCTCTATGTATTAAAAGTGTATTTAAACTATGAACATTTGTTCTGAGGATATAAAAGCACGGCATTATCTGTGTATGGGATATCACACAGTAACCAAACTGTGCCAGAGAAGCCATCAGCTGGTTAATCAATGTGAAAATCAACAGTACAGCAGACACTAGCTGCACAATGAACCTCAGACTGCAGCAATCACAAGTCCAAACGCACAGCTGCAATTCCTGCAAGGCTTGGGGTTAAATCGTTTTTGGGGGATTTTCTGCCTCTTCTTTGGAGTTAGCAGTCAGTATTATAAAAAGATTAAAAGAAACAAACTGTTAAAACGTCCTCCCTTCCTGAAGTCCAAGTTGCCAATAAAACCTGGCAGAGAATTGGGCGATCATGAGGGCATTGTCAAGCAGGAAATGGACTTACAAAATCCATCATTAATAGCGCAGATTTGACGATAGGTTAGAGTTTATTATCATGTATTCTCAAGTATTGATTGCTAATTGTGATGATGATTTTTAAAGACTGGATTTACTGTAGAAGTAAAACTCAGATTGTGTTATTCTAAATCTTCCAAAAACTGCATAGTGGGCAGGACACACCATGCCAAACAGTCGCAAGGTCCATCGCAGCAACCGTCAACATGTGAATCAACATGTCAGGTCGAAGTGGCCTTTAGCAAAACAATGCACTTTTACCTGTTTGTGGTACAAGCACTTTGACAGTATGCCCTGAATTAGACCGAAAAAGGTGTCTCATAATAAAATGCTACTCCAAATCTCTCCGAAAACACCGCCAAACAGCTTCCTTTTTTCCTCAATTTGGAGGACACAAGGTTCTTTAAATGTGTCCCACGAGTCTCACATGGCCACATTTTGCACATAATCAGTCCAAACATGATTTTAATAACAGGGAGTTACAGATACATTTATATAGGTACCTGCCATTAACTATTTTGTGTCAGTTGTCCATCATGTGTTGATGTTAAACATGACAGTTGGTACTGTAAACTCAGATTTAATGGAACTCGTCCAAGTTTCTATTTTTAGGGGGAACACCCTAGTGACTTGGAAACTTTGACACTTTCAAGCAATTAAATGCCCCATTAGTTTTGTTCTCTTTGAGGCTGGTGTGGCTCAAGTTAAAGGTTCTAGTTCATCCCCTGAATTTAGATACAGAAAGGGGTTTAACGCTTCTGCAAATCTAGGGACATGCACTGAGAATCGAATAAGACTAACCACCTACAGTACAGTACAGTCCAAATTACCACAAGCAAGTATGTAGACAGTGTGACTGAATGATTAAGAACTATTCAAACAGAAATACTAATATTTTGTCCACACACATTACGTCCATCTAGGAGTAATAAGCCTTGGGTCAACATTTTAAACCTTGAGTGAGGAACCGACATAAAATAATTTCTGGATACGGGTTTAAAAATCAATAAATATTTGTTTTAACGATTTTTTCGGGCAACCAGTGTCAGGGGAAGATATAACCGGGGATCAAGATAAAACTATTTCTTTATAATTTTCCAGATTGGATTTGCTGCTTTAAAATTACTTGACACTTACTGGCAGAGATGATTGTCAAGTTAGGCTCAATCATACTTGGTGTCTTCTTGCATTCATTATTCTGACGTACCATTTGTTGTGAGTGACCGTGAATAATACTGTCAGTATAATCGACTGATACCCTAAAATAAAATGTTATTGCGGCCATGAAAATTGAATTTCAAGAGCTAAACCAACATATGTAGATAAAGATTTATAAAACAAACAACTACGCAGACAGAGGGTTGGATTCTGTATCTCATGAAGTTCTACTATTGAGTATAACCATGGAATGCACAATAAATACATATAATTAAAGTAAAACTAATTGCCCACATTCTGGTTGACATTGGACAAGTTATTATCTTCTCAGACTTGCCAGAATTAAACTCTCTGAGCGTAGATTTACTAAAAATAAATCCACAGTCTGACATTAATACAATGATTTGAGAGTGTGAGATTAAAGTTCACTAATCCATAGGCTAAAACACTGAATAAGAAGACATCAAAAAGTTTGAAGACTCACTTTTTTCCTGCAATATTCGTGGCTCAACAGTTCGACTTTTACCCATCGACTATGTGAAAATGTGTTTTGTAAGAGGTTTGAGCTTTGGACACACTGGTGTTCATGGCAGCTTTCCATGTCAAACCAGCAGGAAAACAAAGGTCAAAGGGCACTGTCTCAATGCAAGTCTGTCTTTTATTTCACTGATTCATTCAGCCACTGATCTGGTTTTAAACAAACAGGCCATCAAAGCTGCCCTTTTCCTCTGTTAATTTTTACTGACTCACACTCACACAATATATGAAAACACATTGAAGGAAATCTAACCCAATGTAACCCAATGGTTGGATAATCACAGATTTCTGTCAATAAACAATCAAACTATTAAAACAACAATTTCCTCTGTAGTTGATTGAACTTTTACCCAAAATTGTGTTGCGTAACAAGCACCCTCACTGACCTGATCTTAAATAAACCTATTTTTGTATTCTGTTTTTGTAGTAAATTAATGTTTAAACTTAGTAACAGCTTATGTCTTCTTTTAAAGTTTCAACCCCACTTTGAACAGTGCTTTCTTGGACTAAAGATGCATGAAAACGCCACAATCTGTCTCTTTCATAGGACAAGTTGTGCTGATCTGATACCTACTTGAACCAATGACACAATTAAGAGTCTTATACTTCAGCAGCAGCAGACTGCATGACAGCTCTCTGTGCAATTGTTAACCATCATTTTCTCACTACAAGAATACACTTAAAAGTCACATGAACTAATAGTAACTCTTAACATTGAATTTCCAGTGAAAACAGAACATTTTAAAAATGATTACATGGAGCTAAACACATATGGGTATCTAAAAAGAAGGAAATGTGGTTAGGGCAATGATAGATGACAGTGACAAACATTGAGGAGAGGAAATTATGTCAAGGTTTCACATTACATTTCACAGTGAAGCATGATGTATGGAAGCAAGAACATGTTTTACATTGGAGCTGTTTTTGTCAGCAAAAAGTAAAACAAATAATAAAAATACAAAATAAAAAGCTTTTTTTTCAGAAAAGATTGCCGTCTTCACCTATATGGCTAGATGTACGTTTCTCATTGAGTTTAATTAACCAATAAGTGTCTCTTTTTATAAATCACTATCTTTTTACAAATGTTATCTAATTAAAAGTTACAAGTATATTTTTCTCTGATTATCTGACATTTTATAGAATAAAAAAAGAATCAAATGATCAGTAGATAAATCAAGAATGGAGGTAGTTGTTGCCAAACACTGCACAACATCCTAATCAATACTTTGTTTATGATGTGTTATCAATATTTTCCTACATTTTATGATTTGTTTATTATTTATTATTTTATGAACATCTTCAACCTCTGACTTTCCTGGCTGCTTGATGCTTGTAAACTTAGTAATATAAATACATTTAAAGCTTTCTACTGGTATGTTTAAATTATTCGGATCAAGAGCATACCAATACTGTAAGTCTGAGCAATAAATATAAAAGCTGGACGGATGCTTTTATTCAGTATTTTACACTTTGAGCTACAATATTTTAGGACATGAGTTTCCACATCTAGTCCAAACATGTTGTAATAAACTGGCGCTCCATAATGATTCATGAATCAACAACAATGAAGAACCTGGAACTTTTTTAATCACAATTACGATTATGGCTTGCAACGATTACGAAAACACATAATCAAAATAAAACGATTATCTTTGTATTATTATTATTACTTTTTTTTTTTTTTCAAATAATTTTTTTTTATTGGCTTTTCAGTTGAATTATACTTAAAGTTCAGGGTAATCAACTGTTAAAAACATACTCTTCACATTTTTTTCTCCAATAAATTGATGTTTTCAAAGTAAATGGATAATCGTTTTTCATAATCGTGATATCAATTATTGACCAAAATAATCGAGATTATGATTTTTGCCATAATCGAGCAGCCCTAATCCAAAGCTCTGTTTGCACTGCAGAAATACGTTTTTCATTTAGTAATAATGGGCAGAAAGAATCTGGTGATACCGTCAGAGGTAGGCCCACCTTTACAAGAAAGAAGATTAGGTCAAAATGTGTCCGTCTTTCACGAACACAAATCTCTTTGTTGGAGCTGCTCTTTAACAATTCTGCCTCAACACATCCACATGAAAAGGTCTAGAGGTCCCACATTGCTGTTATAGGCTTTAACAAAGCATGATTCAGCAACACAAAATATCATGAGTCCAAATACGTCTCCCTGGAGAGCATGTTTTGCAGGCCACTACATAAAAAACCTGGTTATTTCTTGTGAATAAAAAGAGGCATGGAGCCCTCCTTTCCTTAGAACAAGGCTACCGGCCAGCAGCACATACCGAAACACAAAGACCCCCATTAGCCGGCCCATTCTCACAAAGCCAACAAGGAGCTGCTGGAGGAGAAGGGTGGTGTTGAATTGAAGAGCTGGACGGATTACATGGGATCTGGACGGAGCTATTTCCGTCTCACAGAGGAGCCTGACAGCGAGAGGCTTCAGAGGGACGGACAGATTGATTATAGCGTCCCCCAATTGGAGTAATTGTAGCCGTACTCCTGCTGCACTGTCTCCCTGTCTGGCAGCTCGGGCCCATCTACTGTACTCAGTAACTACACCAAATTCCCAGCAAACCATCTTCTTTTGAGCCTTAAGTGTCTCTCTTTTCTCGAAAAATAAAAGACATTACATGATCATATTAACACGCTTTGGGAAAAACGTATTACATGTAAGGGGATGCATCAGGATACAAAACTTTATTCCCTTTCAGTTACATAAAACATTTGTAATCGATTACTTGAATAATCTTGAATTCTAAAAGATTGGGATTACAATGTTACTGAAACAAACAAAAAGAAAGAAAGAGTATATTGTATTTCTTATTTTTTTCGAATACTTTGAATCTATACACCTGCCTGAATTTGCTATATGGTGTTCAGTTTCTTTGGTTCATTGGTTCTTGTCTTTTATGTAGGTTAATATATTTGTTATTAAAATATTGTGCATGAGTATGTGCATTTTCTGTTAACCAAAACAAAAAATGTGAACTTGTGACCCGTTAGAAGTGACAAGATGGTCAGACAAGACCCTCCCTTCTTCCTAGATGTTGTTGTGTTTCGGTGTTTCTGGGCGTCAGATGTAAGCACGGATCCAATAATTAGCTACCAAATGGGCAGAAAAATGCAAACTCAGAAAAGGAGAAAGACCAAACAGGAAAGCCGTTTTAAAACGAGGGAGGAGGGTATTACTGTACTTTTATTGTTGTGTTAACAAACTGCAACCAACTAATCCTACTGGTTTTGCCTTTTATATCTCCATGCGCAGCTAGATGTTATAGAGCTTTAAATAATACAGAAATAGCACCCAAAACACATCTACCTAAACGTTAAATAAACCTCAAAGCGTGACCTCCATCCTTCATGATGCTGGCCCTAAAATTAAAATAAAGCGCATCCCTTTATACAAGTCAAAGATTTCCTTTAATGACCAAAAAACCACATACTTAAGACATGTTATTTCTTTTTAAATCAAGTGACTTCCAAAGCCTATCCAACAGTAGCAGGGCAGCTGACTATCACACCATCAGTTGAACAGCAGGCAACAACAACTGAACTAGGGCTGAACGATATACCGTGTCATGGCGATAACCGCGATATGCGCATGCGCGATATTCACATCGCAGGGACGTGAGATTTTTTATTTTAACTTTTTTTTTTTTTTTTTTTTTAGGGCGTTCGATATTAAGTAGGTAAAGTAACTCAAACACGTCATGTTACAATTATTTTGCTGCTTGCTACAAAAAGAAAACTTGCGCGGCTCTCATGTCAGGGGTACTTGAGTGGAGTGACATGCAGGCTCTGAGTCTGCATGCACAGCAAACAACTATTTCAGATGCCTTTGCCGCTTTTACACCATACTGTATGAGAAAGGTTCAAAACGGCATCAAGGAGCTGGTGTATAGCTGTTCTTAATTTTTATAATGTTGTTTAAAAGATATCCAATACTTTGCTGCTATTTGCACAAAAAAGGTTTTAATTGTGGAATAAAAAGTTAAATGACCTATTTGGTCACGTATGTTAATTCTCTAATGTGATAATGAAGCCTTCTATGAAGTTTAATGTAATACGTTTAATCTCTTGGATCCCTTCTAGACACCACTCTTCTTCATTCACAGATGAACCCCCTTATTTGAGGGTAAGCAACCTGCATTATCATGACATGTTAGATCATGACTTAAGGTATGATGAGTCAACCAGTTAAGATCCAGACGTCCGTGATTAATATCTTTCATCCGGTTAAATATAGTTAAAAAAAACGCAACATATATCGCAGGGGAAAAAAATATTGCAATGTCAGTTTTTTTCAATATCGTGCAGCTCTAAACTGAACTGTGGTTTTATGTAGAGTTCTATTCAATATAATCCAATTATAGACACAACCTGGTTAGCAACGCTTCTATTAAGATACTACAGTAGGTTTTAGATGGTATGTTATAGAAACATTTGGTTTTCTTTCTTAATGAAATACATTTCATCCTTTAGAGATAAATGTATTTCAAAAAAGGTTCACGTGTACTTCTTTAAATGTTTTAACCTCTGCAACAACCTGAATAGCACAGACGAGTAGCCTATCGTGTCACACTGGCATTCATTCATGGCAGGCCTTTTGTTTGTGAACCAAACCCTAAACCAGTAATGTTCCAGGTTAAGCTCTATTATTTTTTTATGTGGGCTCTACTACACTTGTAGACTTACAGTCACTGTTTTGTTGTGTGTGTTTTCCCAACTTGAAATACAAACAAGTCACTTAAATACGAACAAAATGATTGGAAATGTGTTCCCTAATTTAGTTTTTGCTAGGTTTGAAAAGTGAATATAAGAAGCAGGAATTGTTGAATGTCTGCTATTACTTGAGAAAATGCTGAAATGATTAACTTACTATAAAGTATGTGCCTGTTAGTATTATGGCATCATTTTAGCTCTATACTGGAGTGGGTTAAACATCCAGAAGTCAAGGTTACACATGCAAAACTACTGACGTAGTATTTTAAGAGCACAGCAGGAAGCAGCTGTATGCATCAGTCCATCCCACGGTTTTC